GGAGGAGGAGGCTGGGAGAAGGCTGGAAGGAGGAGGCCAGGAGGAGGAGGCTGGGAGGAGGCTGGAAGGAGGAGGCCAGGAGGAGGAGGCCTGGAGGAGGAGGCCGGGAGGAGGAGGCTGGGAGGAGGAGGCCAGGAGGAGGCTGGAAGGAGGAGGCTGGAGGAACAGTGAGGAGGAGCAGGCGGAGAGGAGGAGGTAGGGAGGAGCAGTGAAGAGGAGGAGCCAGGGAGGAGGCCAGGAAGAGGAGGCTTGGAGGAAGAGGCTTCAGGGAAATGGGGGCCCAGACCAGCTCAGTCACACTCAGGTCTGCTGCCCGAGCATAGAGCAGAGGGCCAGTTTTGGGGGATGGGCAGTGGGGGCACCAGATGCAATGCCCTCAGCCACACTGAGGGGCAGGGAGGGCAGGGCAGGGCCACAGGAGGGGAACAGCTTCAGAATCACCCCTGGTCCCAGCCCAGCCCAGTGCCCAAGGGGGGGAGGCAGAGCCCCAGGCCTTCCCTTCCCCTTCCCTGTCCCAGCCCAGGTGAACCAAGGGAGAGGTCAGGAAAGGGGGGTTCTTATCTCTAGGTCTTGAGGTACGCAGCCAAGGGACTGATGCCAGGAGTCACAGCTCCTGGCAGCCACATTGTGCCCACACTAAGCCTAGGCTTCAAGCTCGTGGCTGGGACCCTAACACCCACTGAAGCTGTCGGGGCGGCAGCTGGCAGCACTGGCTCTGTTGTCCACGTCGGCCATTTCTCTTGAATCCAAATTGCCGTTAATCACGGCCTCCTCTGTGCGACAGTCCGGCTCCACCACACAGCCGGCTCATCCGTCTGCGTTACAGTTCAGTTTCCAGCAGAGCAGACACCCACCTCTGCCCCCAGCCAGTGCAGAGCCAATACCCCACCTCTGCCCCCAGCCAGTGCAGAGCCAATACCCCACCTCTGGCCCAAGGCCCAGACTCCAGGTGGATAGTTTGGACCACAGTCTAACTGGCAGTGTGATCCAAAAGACCCCGGCCTGACTGGAGACACGGACAGGGCCTGCCAGGACTGACTCTGGCACACCCACAGATCCCAGGCTTGATTACAGTCCTCGGGGGCTTCTGCACCGTTTTCGTAGTCTGCTCTGCCAGGCACTTCTGTTTACCATTCAGTGCCCCTGGACATGCCCAGACCAAAGGGCAAAGGCTGCAGGCGCCAGGGTACGGCGGGGGGCACGGGGTACAGGGAGCCCGCGTCCGGGTACGGCGGGGGGCACGGGGTACGGGGAGCCCGCGTCCGGGTACGGCGGGGGGCACGGGGTACGGGGAGCCCGCGTCCGGGTACGGCGGGGGGCACGGGGTATGGGGAGCCCGCGTCCGGGTACGGCGGGGGGCACGGGGTACGGGGAGCCTGCGTCGGTGCATGCCGGTGCGTCCGGTGCAAGTTGGGAGGCAGTCTGTGGACCCGCATTTCACCGTGGCTCTGGGCCTGCGGGGACTGGACTGGAGCACTTGGCTTCCCGGCGGCCTGAGGAGTGGCTCCCTGCCCATGGGTTAAGGAGGGGAGGCCCCATCCCCGGGCATTCTGCCCCAGGGCCCTGCATAGTACCGCAGGGAGAAGAGTCAGCCCGAGACGCGCATGTGGCAGAGGCTCCAAATCTAGCGTCCACCCCTGAAACCCCTGACCTTGGCAGGGCAGCCCCTACCACCTCTGACCCCCGCATCACAGCGCTAGCCCCTGACCCCGCATCACAGCGCTAGCCCCTGACCCCGCATCACAGCCCCTGACCCCGGGCAGGGCAGCACGGTCCTGGCCCCCTCTGGCCTCCGCTAACCCCTGGGCAGGGCAGCACAGTTCTGGCCCCCTCTGACCTCCGCTGACCCCCAGGCAGGGCAGCATGGTCCCCGGCCTCTCTGGCCTCCGCTGACCCCGGGCAGGGCAGCACCGTCCCCGGCCCCCTCTGGCCTCCACATCACAGTGTTGCAACATCTTCAGCAGGGGGCTTGGCCCTGCCAGATCCTGTCCAGGGCTGGGTGTGCCTGGCAACCAGACGCCAGACCTGGGCACTTCCTGTCTCCTCCCTGGAGCCCCTCCGGTCCTGGCCCCGCCCGGTGATCCTCCATCCCCAGGACCTGCAGGACTCCTCCCTGCTCCCCTGAGCGGCACCCCTGGAGAGGAGCCTGCCCCTGGGCCAGCTCACCGCCGGGAGGGAGCCGCAGCACACACCCCCCAGAGGAAGGAGCTCCATGGCCTCCGCCCTCTGGCAGGCGGGGGGCCGGTCCTTGACCACTCTGCCCTTAGCACCCCTCTGGCAGCCACCGAGCACCCAGGGCCCAACGCGATCGATCCCATGATGCTGAGCAGAGGGATACTCCATCTGGGTAACTGCCAAGCACAAAGAGAAGAGAACAATTTCTCAGGGCCAAAAGGAAAGCAACCTCCTCTTTCCTTCAGCTTTGACTCTGAACATACAATCGGGTTGTACTTGACACGTGCGTCCATCTTTTTAGAAGCTAAGGATTACTTAGCTGCACACAAGCCAGAGCTCTTCCGGCAGGACCCGGGAGTCGTCCGTCTCTCTGAAATGTCAAGAGCAGGAAAGTCAGGGCTCCTACCGCACGGGGCCGGCACTGGAGGGCGGCTGGGGGGGCCGGAGCCAAACGCCAGCCGCAGGTTGCACCAAACAAACTTCTGTCATAGAGACACAGAAGATTATTTCCCTTTGGAGAAAGCCAATTAGCTAGCACAACCCCCAGGTGGGTTGGGACAGAGCATGAGTGACAAATGGTGCTGCCCCCCCCCCCATGTGAGGCCTGGCTGCGTTTATCTCCGGGACAGCGCATGCCGGCTGTGTCGGCTGCTGGCTCAGGCAGCCCAGCCTCACTCAGGCGGGGACAAGCCGTTTCCTTTCTCTTCTGCCTCCCCAGAGAGGCTTCTGGGCTCGGCAGGAGCTCCTGGCTGTGTTACAGTTATCTGCCATGTACAAGCTACCCCAATTCCACGAGAACTCGGAAGGAGCCCCACAGAGCGCCGACCATCCAGACAAACTCCCCAGATTGCTCATGATCCTGCCGCGACCCCAACACACCCATGCTTGCCAAAGGAGCACTACCTGCCTTCCCTGTCCACCCCTGGCCCAGTGACCCCTGCCCGCCTGCCCTGGCCACCGAACGTGCCCACATCTCTTCCCCCTCCAGCCAGAAAGCGCCTCATACATACTTGATGGAGAAATTACAACACACACCTCTGGTCGCCAGCCAGCCCCAGGCTGCGCGCTGGGCCTTCAAGGAAGCGCCTGGTGACTGCACGACTCTCTGGTCATTGCTCACCCGGGCCTCTCTGCCAGCCCCTTCTCAGCCTCCTCCTCCTCCTCCTCCTCCTTTTTTTGGTCAGTCGTGGGGCTTGAACTCTGGGCCTGGGTGCTGTCCCTCAGCTCTTCAGCTCAAGGCTAGCGCTCTACCACTTGAGCCACAGAGCCACTTCCGGCTTTTTCTGCTTATGTGGTGCTAAGGAATCGAACCCAGGACCTCATGCATGCAAGGCAAGCGCTCTACCCCTGAGCCACCTTCCCAGCCCCAGCCTGCTTCTAAGTCTCATCTTTCTCTTCATGTAACATAGGAGGTTAAATGTGTATCATTTTCTAGTAGAACATGACCCAGAGTGAAGCTGACGAGGGGAGTGGCCCCCAGCCCAGCCCTCGTCCCCTGCTCAGAGCACGAGCGAGCCCCGTGGGGGGGGGCGGTATAAAAGGGGGTGGGGGTGGGGGGTGCACACTTTCTCCCCAGGCGATGACCTTCCTGCCTCACCGATGGCCTCCCTGCTGGCATCGAGATCGGTGTCTGCCTGTCCGGTGTCTGCCCGTCCGTCTCTCTGAACCAGCACTGGAGCTTGAGCTCAGTCTCATGCTCTCGATCAGCTTCTCCCTCTCATGGCCGGTGTTCTACCATTTGAGCCAAACTTCCATTTCGGGCTTTTTGCTGGTTCATCAGAGATAAAAGTCTCAAGAATTTGTCTGCTCGGGCTGGTTTTGAACTGTGGTCCTCAGATCTCAGCCTCCTGGGTATCTAGGATTATGGACCTGAGCCACAGGTGTCCAGACTGGGCTCTCCTGCAGTCCCGCCCCCACGTTACAGGTGAGGTCCGCGTGGGTCTGGTGAGCCTCTTGGCCTCCCGTTGGGGCCGAGCTGGTCTGCAGCAGCCTGATCTCTGAGCACAGGCGGCTGCGTCACCTGACGGGGGCGGGCCTTGGGGTTAGGGCAGGGCTGGTCGGGGCTGGCCCTGCGTCCTGGCTGGCTCTGACACAGAGGAGCACCTGAGAGATGTCAAGGCCAGCTGGAACCGCCTGTGTCTCTGAAGATGATGGAGGCTCCAGGAGCTGAAGACTGAAGACCGACGACGCTGGTCGCAGAGTGGCCGTGCCTCGCAGAGTGGGGGCCGCCCCCAGGGCCCCAAGACCCTGCCTCGCAGAGCGGGGGCCGCCCCCAGGGCCCTCCCCGGTGCCCCCCTCCTCCAGTGTCCGCCTCTTCCAGGCTGGTTGGACCTGGACTTCTCCCCAGCACCAGCCTCCCCCCACCCCCAGGGCTTGTCCAAAGGCTCTTGGTACACTTTGTCTCTGCCGGGGGAAGGCCCTTAGAAATGCCTGGTGCCCGCTGATGGGAAGCAGCACTGGGGGGACTGGAGGGGGTACCTAGCTCCCAGCTGAGGAGGGGGAAGGGCAGGTTTCCCAGCTCCACCCTCTCCCACCTCTGCTTGGCATCTAGAACTTTCTCTCCCTCCTTCCCTCCCGTCTCTCTGCCCCACCCCCAGCAGGAAGCTTCCTGTCCAAGGGGCAGAGCCGCTCCCCACAGCCCACGCCAGCCTGGGGAGCGAGCAGTGTTCTCTGTGACTGAGTCTGGCGTCGCGCTTGGGGGAAGACACAGTAAACACCTGCAGGTTTCCTTCTCTGCGGAGGCAGCAGCTTCCTCGGTGTGCGCAGGGGAGGAAGCAGCCCCAGACCTCACACCCCGGTCCCCCACAGTCTGCGGGACTTCCGCCATGCGAGCAGCCAGTGAGGCCCGTGGCTCCCACCCATTGCTCCTGGACAGGCGGGGTTCCTGGGGTGCACCCACAATCCAGTCGCCACCACTGCCCCTGCTTCACTGGGGCCCTGGGAACCCCTGCGGTTTGCCACGATTTCCTGGCTTCCCAAGGCCCGGGCCACCACAACGGCTGCCCAGGGTCCAGGGCTCACGCCTGCATGCCAGGCCCATGGAGACCACTCAGCCGACATTCCTGTGGGAGGGACAGCTACGGGGTCCCTCCGCCCGCCCGGAGCCCAGGCAGGCCAGGACTGCCCCAAGCCCGCTAACGCCTCCAAGGCAGAGGCCAAGAGGCCGCCCCTTCGGTCAGCAAGGGCTCCCCCCTCCCCTCCCCCCCAAGCTGGAGTCTGTGCGCCTGCCCCATCTGGACCTGCTCTGCACCACCTCCGGTGAGCAAGGACCCTCGGCCCAGCAGGGGCAAAGCGGCTGCCTGGCCAACGCGGCCCCTCCACTGGCCAAGCAAGGGGCTCCCGCCTCTGCGGCTGGAAGTTGTACTCCCTCTATGAGGGACAGGTCTCGGGCAGCCCCGGTCGCAGCCCGGGTCCCAGCCCGGGCCGCAGCTCTCTCAGGATCCTTGCTCCCCGGCAAGGCTGCTACCGGCCTGCAGCCCACCAGCTCGCCTCACATTGGCAGGCCACTGTCCGTGTACCCCGGCAGCGCCTCCACCACGAGCCTGCTGCCATGCCAGGCCCCACAGCCACGTCCGGCACCGCTCGGCAGCCCCTCTGTGTCATTTTTTTCGTTGGTGGGCTGTGGGGTTCTCCTGAGGATGGACGGACAGAGTCCCAGACAGGAGGACATGGCCTGCCCAGCCCCACCGCGGGCACCATCGGCTCCACACAGGCCAGCGACCTCCAATTTTTCCTCATCCAACGAAACGGCTCAGAGTCCATTCTGCTGCCCATCCCCCCAGATGCCATCCAGGCAGAAGCCGAGGAGACACGTCAGGAGGGGGGTGCCGCTCCAGAGGGTGGCAGAACAGCAGCCGATCTCCAGGGCACAGAGGCCGGGCCGTGGGGAAGGAGGATGCCGACGGCCAAGGCCCTGACCTGCATGCCTGCTTCAGGACCCTGCGCACCCAGGAGACACGCAGCCTTGAGCAAGCCCACGGCACTGCCCTGGGGGCCGTGGGGAAGCGCCTCCGCCCCTCCCGGCATCTCCTCTAGCCGCTCTTGGGGCTGGAGGTGACAGGAGGACCATGTCAGAGGCGCTGTCAGGGAGGTGGTGATGTCGTGCAGGTGGGAGAGCGCCAGCGGTGAGTACCAGGAGGCTCGGGGCCAGCGCTCAGGTCCTGAGTTCAAGCCCACGCCGCTGCAGTGTACCCCAGCCCCCCTGCGTGGTCCCCGCCCCGAGGCCACGGTGCTGTGGGCCTCCCTAGGGGCGAAAGGAACCTGACTTCAGAGCAACGTTTCAGGACCTTAAAAAGAACCGTTCCCGGAAAGTGTAACCCCTGGACGTCACCTTTATAATAACAACGGAAGCTGTATTTTTTCTAAGAAACGTTCCTTCGTCTCCCTGCTGACCCGAAGAACCCTTCGCTGCTCCTGTGTGCAGGCTGGCAGGGCCGGCAGGGCCGCCCGAGCCACATTAATGAGGCTCCTATCCGCCTCTGACAAACACACCCAGCCCTCCTTTGTCCCCGCCGAGCCGACAGGGACCGAGACGTCCGTGACGCAGCACAGCGTCGGCATTTGTGACTGTCACACCACCATCCCGTGGCGCTTTGAAAGCCATAATTGTCCAGGGCTCAAAGGGATCCAAGGAGACAAAAAAAATAACAAAGATAACAGCGTCCAGCACTGTACGGCCCTCCGAGGGCCAGCGTGGAGGCACGGGGCCTGCCCTGGGGGCGGCGCCGCCCGAGGAGTCTGCGGAGCAGACATCATGAACAGCAGCAGCAGCGGCGCTGAGAGCAGGGGCCGCTGGTGGACAGGCCCCACACTGCCAGCCTGGTGAAAGATGCTGTCCGGCAGCAGGCTGGGCTCCCCCCCAGCCCACCTGACCTCAACTCTTCCTCCTCCCTGTCTTCCACCTGGACCAGACCATCTTCTGTCCACAGAAACCAGTCCAGGCTTCCTGGGGGCCACGGGAAGGGGGTGGCCAGACCAGGCAGGGCCCAACAGTGCTGGCACTGGATGTGCTGGTTTCTGAGATTGGAGCGACTGGCAATCTGAGGTTGGAAGGGCAGAGGGCAAAGCCAAGGGCCCCCGTGTGGTCCGGCTGACGGTTCCCAGCAATCCTGTGCCTCCGTTTCTCTGCCACGGGGATAAGGGGCTACCTTCCAGAAGGTGTTCCGTGAGGAACAGATGAGCAGACTCCTCTCTCTACCCCGCAGCTGCCCCTGGCCAGTCTCATCCAGCAGCTCAGCACGTGGGGGAGGCCACTGAGCTCAGAGTCCAACCAGCCAGTCCTTCCAGTGTGGCCTGGCTGCTTGCTTCTTCTTCTTTCTCCTTCTCCTCATTCTTTCTTCCTTCTCCTTCTTATACTTGGGTTTGAACTCAGGGCCTCTCACACTTGGCTAGACACACCTCCAACCCATGGTGGAGCTGGTTCTTAATGACAAAGGTCTGTAATTGAGACCTTGGCCCTCCCAAAAATATATAATACCCACCCCACACACATATACCCCATACAACATACATACAAACACACACAACACCATACACACATATACCCCATACAACATACACACATACAACACCACACACACATATACCTCATACAACATACACACAAACACATACAACACCCCACACACTTACACCCCATACAACATACACACAAACACACACACACCACACACACACATATACCCCATACAACATACACACAAACACACACACAATACCACACACACACATATACCCCATACAACATACAAACACACATACAACATCACACACACATATACCCCATACAACATACACACAAACACACATACAACACCACACACACATATACCCATACAACATACACACAAACACATACAACACCCCACACACATATACCCCATACAACATACACACAAACACATACAACACCACATACACATATACCCCATACAACATACACACAAACACATACAACACCCCACACACATATACCCCATACAACATACACACAAACATACATACAACACCACACACACATATATACCCCATACAACATACACACAAACACATACAACACCACACACAACATACAAAGCATACATACAACATACACATAGCGTGTGCAAGCAGGCATGCATGTGTGCACGCACGCGCCATACACCAGGCAGGTGGGAGGCTCATCTCCCCATAGGGCTGGAAAGACGAAGACAGAAATAGCAGCACAATCCGCACCACCACCCTGGGGCGCCCCAAGATGAGCGCTGGGCAGTGGGCAGCGTGTCTGGGGCCCTGGTCCCAGGTTGCACCCAGAATCTTGAGACCCTGAAGCTGCCGAGAGGCCTCACAGGGCTGTGGGGTCCCCTGTGGGCCTCTTCTGAAGAGCCCGGGCTTGTTGGCACGCCTAGACACCTGAGCAGACCCAGGACCTGAGGGAAGGCTCTCCTCCCTCCCGGGTCCTGACGGCAGGTTGAGTCAGATGTTTGGATTTGGTGGGCGGTCAGCGCCCTCTACAGGCAGGTGTGTTAACTGCAGGCCTCAGCCAATGGGCTTGGGACTCGACAGGTCTACTGGACAGGACATGGCAGCTGACTGCGGGCTTTGGTACTTCTTCCAGTTCTAGAGTCTGAAGTCAAGACTTGAACTCAGCACCTTCTCAGGCAGGCACTCACGACTTGAGCCACGGATTGTTTTTCAGGTAAGGTCCTACTCCATCCACCACAGCCCTCCCCAGCTCAGCAGTTCGAGGAAGAATGCAGAGACAGAGCAACTGCTCCCCGGAGTCTGCACTCCTGGATGCCTGTCTTTCCTTCTTGTCCACGACTCCCGTGAGGACTGACTTCTCTGAGCCTCTGCCTCCCCTCACAGGAATCTCACACACACACACACACACACACACACACACACACACACACTGTGATCATGGCCCATAAGCCTCTCTGGCACCCGCCCAGCCCTCCTTACTTCACACAGGAGGACGCCCTCCCGCTCCCCCACCCCCTAGCACCCCGCGGCCCCCACTCCTGCCAGCCTGGTGGCCAGGCTCCCATCCCAGGACCTGCATCTGCACAGCATGGCCTCAGATTAATTTCAGATCACCTCCATCGCGGCTGCATCTCACCGCACACTCCTGTGTACTTGTGCACTCCCGGCCGGGTCACACACACTCCTGACCGTGTACTCGTGCACTGGCCGGGTCACGCACACTCCTGTGTACTCGTGCAC